ATTTTGCTATTTTAATACCTAGGTCTTTCTTTTTTATATTCTATCCCTACTAAAAAAAAAAATTAGGCAGATGCTAATTTGCTGCAATAATCATTTACTTTTTCTTGAGCTTCTATGTGGGAAGGTGCAAGATTTTTCAGATCTTGGAAATCTACTGAATATGGCATTTCTCTGAGGTATAACTTTGTAAAGAGCAAGTAGAGAGGTTTTAAGAGGAACTTGAATCAAATGATCCCTGCATTTCAGAAATCAGCAGAATATTATAGTTTTGCAAACTTTATTCTCTGCAGACTTTATTGCTGCTGGAAAAAAAAACAAGGAAATGAGAAAATAGTTGAAGCAAAACTGCTTCCAGTGAAAGTACTTCATATTTTTGACCTGTGTTTAAAGCTTCTCAAAATTGTTATTGTAGATCAGAAGGCTGAAAAATAATATGAATAAATTATTCAGAAAGCAAATTAATTTGGTTATTTTTCCAAGTGAGATTTCTTGAATGAACAAACTCAAGTTAATATGAATATTACTACTGTTCCTTTTTTTCTAAATAAATAAGAATAGCAGCAATTAACATCTTAAAAATATCATCATATATGTATATGTATATGTATATGTATAATGTATAATGTATATGTATATATGTATGTATGTATTTCTCTTTAGCCAGGTTCTTTCTACGTAAACCAATTTTTTTATGCAGCCCTAGTTCAGTGAAATACCAATCCACTAGTTTCTAGGCTTTTTTTCCAGCAGCCAGCAAGCTCCCTGCTGCCCATTGGGAGACTAAGGAGACTAAGATAGATCTATTTCGGATTTATAGGCCCTCATCAGTTAGCCACACCTTCATCCCATGTATCCTCCCTCTAAAGGTACAGTATTTGTTTTTTTTTCTTTTCGTAGGCCTTTATGTGTATTTCTCTTTAGCCAGGTTCTTCCTACGTAAACCAAGATTTTTATGCAGCTGCTGAAAATAATATGTATGTATGTATGTATGTATGTATGTATGTATGTATGTATGTATGTATATGTATTTGTTTTCTGAGGTTTTTGCGGGTGTTTGTATGTAGGTCTTTGGTTATTCAGGTTTTCTCCTGCGTAAAATTGGAAATGTCTGATTGAGGGTGAATCTTTGATTTCACTTATTCAGCTTCTGATTATGATCTCTTCCACATGGCAGCCTTTAGCAGCTTGTTTCCCACATTCATAATGATGGAAAATTTAGCTGACTTCAAAAATCTGTATTTGGATTTCCATTTTTTATAGTAATGCTGACCAGTTGCCCTCTTTTCCTTGGCTGGGTTTTTGGGGATACTTTGCATCTGCATGAGCAAATAACATATAGGGGATGCAATCATAGAGGACTAGAGTGGTATTTTTCAAATTTGGTAATTTTATGATGTGTGGACTTCAATTCCCAGAATCCACACATCTTAAAATGACTAAGTTGAAAAACACTGCGCTACTAGACTGTCAAGTCTAACCCTCTGCTTAGTGCAGATATTGCTTACTTATGTCAAGGTTTCACCAATCTACTGGCGAACTGGCAGTGTGTGGAAAACATCATCCTTTCACCATTCTTGTTGCCACTTGAGTTATAGGAGGAAACTGGCAAATTTTTGTCAGCTTCATTCCAACTCTTCTGCTCTGTCACCTCTTCCAAATACTAAGCTATGTAAGTCCAATTAGAAGAACTTAACAAGCCAAATCATTAGAGAATCCTAGGCTAGGAAACAGAAAGGTATATTTGCACTTGGAGACAGCTATGGAATTTGGGTTTTCTACATCTTATTTGTGATAGTCAGGAAAAGATTTGAGATTTGATTGCTTGTTTTGCTCTACATGATCTCTCTCTCTCCCCAAGGATCCTTTCCTCTCCCATTTTTTTTTTCCTTCTTGCAGTCTTTCCTAATACTCTTCTGGCCTTCACCAAGCTCCTGTCCTATGTCATTTCTCAGATAAAGGTTCCCCTCACACATATGTGCTAGTTATTCCCGACTCTAGGGGGCGGTGCTCATCTCCGTTTCAAAGCCGAAGAGCCAGCTCTGTCCGAAGATGTCTCCGTGGTCATGTAGCCAGCATGACTAAATGCCAAAGGCGCATGGAACACTGTTACCTTCCCACCAAAGGTGGTCCCTATTTTTTCTCCTTGCATTTTTTTTAATTGAAAAGTTTTACAAAAAACAAAAATTTTCTTCCCCCCCATATTCCCCCCTTTCCCTCCCCTCATCCCCCCTCCCCCCCAAACTTCCCAGAGCAATTGTTTCATTTAACAATCTTAAACTAGATTAACCTACTTATCCTTAGACTACTAACTCCCCCCCGAAACCTTAACTCCACTATAGATAACAAAATACTTCTAATACTTAACGTTCATTCATGAGCTATTTGATATTTTCTTGTCTGATACTTATTTTGAATATAGTCAATCCATCTTCTCCATTCCGATACATATCTTTCTTGTGTATAGTCCTTCAAGTATGCTGAGATTTTCGCCATTTCTGCTAGGTTCGTTACTTTCAATATCCACTCTTCAATAGTAGGCAAAGAGTCCTTCTTCCAATATTGTGCTACCAACAGCCTAGCTGCTGATATTAGATTCAAAATCAATTTAGTCTCTGATACTGTACAGTCCATAGTTATACCCAATAGGAACAATTGAGGAGTAAATTTCAACCTTCTTTTCAGATTATTCTGCATCACCCACCAAATTGCATTTTTTTACTTGCATTTTTTATGTGCTTTCAAACTTCTACGTTGGCAGAAGCTGGGACAAGTAATGGGAACTCACCCCATTATGCAGCACTAGGAATTCGAACCGCTGAACTGCCGACCTTTCGATCGACAAGCTCAGTGTCTTAGCCACACTCTACTTGTAGGTAATTTCCATGGGATCAATTTGACAAGAAGAAAAAAACTAAAAAGATATATTTGTCAAAAACAACAGCAAAGATAGTCCCCACATTTTTCCAATCTATTAGCCCAGGATGAAATAGCCTCTGAAGAGGAGCAATTAGTAACTGGATGGAAGGCATTGGGCCCACCACAATTAATACAAGAAAGCCAATTGTAATATAAATATTATATAAATATAAATATTACAATTGGCTTTCTTGAAAATGAGGAGTTGAGGAGACAAATTACATGGCCCACTTGTGCTGCACAATTTGAAAAAGCCTACTTTGATGTAGAGCAAAAGGGGAGGGGAGAGGATTAGGATGGACTAGGAGCAGATTGAAGATTGAAGATGGCAATGTTCATTCATATCCTTCAGAATCAGTTCATAGCCCAACCTCATCAGAGCAAGCAAAATAGGGGATGGTTCTAATTCTTTAATCTTCATCAGCTGATTATATAATAAACCTAAAGCCATAAAACAGTCTTTCTAGTTTTGATTTAGAATGGTATGTGAAGCATCTATTTTACCTTAGAAAATGCAGATCAACTTAAACCAGGCTATGACTACGGTCATGAAACTCTATCTTTTTAAAATTCGCTGTGTCTTAGACAAATGGAAGTACCAACTGTTGTTTCTCATCCTAACAGCAAATGATTAAAATCATATCTCAGTATTTCAAGGCATCAGGCTGAGTTAGCATTTTAGTTATTGCTATTGCTAAACTAGTCAGCCTCCTCAGGGCTAGAAAAAGCTGGGCATCATAATTTAGAGACACAATGCAAATTTCTTAATGTTGGTACTAGGTGGAAAAAGATAATCTGCACATGCTGGAAGCCATTTGGTAAATGAACCTCTCAGTATCATAGGATGAGGCATCATAAATGCTAGTTCATTAGTTAATAATTTGCATGTGTTCTTGAGATACTGTATATCATAGTCCAGAGACAGGATATTATTATCATGTTGATTGTCATAAATGGAATAAAAAATATTTTTAATAGAATCATCACATAGCCACTGATGTAACTCAGAATTTTTAGCAATGGAAAAATGAATTTATGGGCATGTCTTTTCTGTCCTTTGAAATTTTATGTGATGGATTTTCACAATTCTCAATGTTAAACCAATAGGATGAAGTAACATTTTATTATATATTTTCTATAGAAGTACACAATTTTAGAATAGCCAAACTAGGTCAAATCTCTTGATTGCCACTTGCTGTTTAGAAAAATTGTATGATGCATGATCAACATTGAATGCAAATCAGAACTGAAGCAATTGAAGGATTTCCGATATCCTAACTTCCCAACCCCAGGGGCCAAAGATCAATGTGAGCTATGCTTGTACCAAACCTAATCCCAAAACTAAATAAAAATAGCACATTGCAGTATTAACATTACATGTTAACCTAGTCTTGCATAGCTTCTTCTCTGGTAATGTTGTACTACTAACTAGAGCATACAAAACATTTGCTAGACAAATTCCTGAATACAGCTCATCTGTCTGGAACCCGACTGCATATCGGACATTAATACAATTGAACATGTCCAGAAATATTTCACAAGAAGTGTCCTCCACTCCTCTGCTCACAACAAAATGTCTTATGCTACCAGACTTGAAATTCTAGGCTTAGAAAACGTAGAACTATGCTGCTTTTGGTATGACTTAAGCATAGCTCATAAAAATATCTGCTACAATGTCTTACCTGTCAATGACTACTTCAGCTTCAACCACAACAATACACAAGCACACAACAGATACAAACTTAAAGTGAACCGCTCCAAACTCGATTGCAGAAAATACGACTTTAGCCACAGAGTGGTCAATGCCTGGAATGCACTATCTGACTCTGTGGTTTCATCCCAACCCCCCCCCAAATTTTAACCTAAGACTGTCTACAGTTGACCTCACCCCGATCCTAAGAGGTCTGTAAGGGGCGTGCATATGTGCACCAGGGTGCCTACTGTGCCTGTCCTAATATTCCTTTTTACTTATTCTTTTCATGTATTCAAATTATATTTATACTTTTACCTGTTATCTTATATATGCTTGACAAATAAATAAATAAAATAAAAATAAAAAAATAAATTTAATGTAAGATTCTAGCTGTATATCAGTGAAGTTCAGCATAATAAGATGACCTTTATCAACACGGGAGGATCCAAGAGCAGTCATTGTTCTTACCGTAAGGTGTTTTTTTTTTTTTTTAATTTGATTTATATGCCGTCCTTCTCCGGAGACTCAGGGCGGCTTACAATGCGTTAAGCAATAGCCTTCATACTTTTGTATATTTATACAAAGTCAGCTTATTGCCCCCACAAACTGGGTCCTCATTTCACCTACCTTAGAAAGGATGGAAGGCTGAGTCAACCTTGAGCCTTGGAGAGATTCGAACCAGCAGAAATTGCAGGCAGCTGTGTTAATAACAGGGTGCACTAAACCACTATACTATCAAGGCTCTATCTGTACTATCAAGGTTGTGGGTAGTTTGGAGAGTAAATTTCACCTTATGGAGCTTGTAAAATGCCTCCACAACCTAGAAATGATAGAAATAGTAGAAATAGTATTACATTATTTTTGCCAGAGATAAATGCTTATTTTAGTGCTTACTTAATAAAAGACTTATCAAAGTTGTATGAAATGGAACCAAACATATAGGCTCCTCTAACTAATGGTTTAGTCAAGAAGCAACAGGTTTTCTAAATTCTGCATTTTCTAATTCTATATACCTTATCAAACAGCAGATTGTAAACTCAATGGCTATTAAGCTTTCTCCTTATTCAATTAATTGGACCTCTGTGAAGGCTTTCATTTTGTAGAGCTAAAAAGCCATGTTTCAGTTTACTCCCTAATCATTCTCTGAGGCAGAAACAACCTTACGATAGCCAGAGGTTGCAACCAATCCTTTGCAGCACCTGTGATCAGAAGATGTAGAGGGAGAGCATCCAGAATTTCTGAGATACTTTTTCCTTGTTTTTTGAAGAGATTTGCAAGTTTTTTATTTGTATATGTGTGCAGGTGTGTTTCATCCTTAAGATGGCAGAAATCCACAATATCAATTTCTGGCAAATGTTAGGCCAGAAATTGGCCAATAAAATTGGCCAAATGGAAGAAAGCATTCAGGACCAGAGGGGGTCAGGGATTTGTAGTTAGCCAATTCTAAACATCTCTAATATTTCTGTTCAATAATAAAAAGGAAGATTGCTAAAATGATTCCTTGGAATTTGGTACAGTATAACCACATAAACAAAATTTTCAAATCCGTCTATATTTCTAGCCCAGACTCTCTTGACAGTGAAATGGATGGCATAAATAAATAAATAAATAAACAAACAAACAAACAAATAAATAAATAATCAGTGTTTTCAACCTTGGCAACTTTAAGGTGTGGCTGGGGAATTCTAGGAGTTGAAATACACAATCTCAACTTTAACTTGAGAAACACTAAGATGGATGGATGGATGGATGGATGGATGGATGGATAGATAGATAGATAGATAGGTAGATAGATAGATAGATAGATAGATTGAAGCTGACTGTAATTGCATTTCCAGTGCTAAAGACATGCAAAGGATTCTGTGATAATCTTGGAGTGCGAACTTGGGGCAGCCTAGGTGATGATGAATCATATCCACCATAGATCTAGAAGGACATATAAAAAAACCAAAACAAAGCTAAATAGTGAATGGATAAACAAGGAATATGTAAAAGTAATGAAGAGCTCTATGGTTGTTTGTTGTAAAAGGCAATCAAAAATGTTTGAGAAGAGAACAGGATAGGCATCATTTTAAATACTTTAGTAAGATTTTGGCAGTGTAATTGGAACAAAGATTAGTACTATCAGTAGATAGCACTGGTCTACAAGGAGAAAGAAAGTTGCTTAATTTTACAGAATTGGGTCACTAATAAAGAAAAATTATGTCCTGAGAATTAATTGGTTCCAGCTTCAGGTCAAAATTGCATCAAAATAATTCAAAATTATGAGCGGGATGTGCGATTATGCTCCATAACTTTTCTGCTAAATGTGATATAGCAATGAGAATGGTGCCACACCAATCATTATACATTTATCTTTTTATTGATATCAATAATATAACTGTTACAATATTTTCAGGATCAGACTCAATAAATAAGTTGAGAATTATAAATTCAAATAAATCACTGTTTATTTACATAAGGCATTCTATATTCACTGAATATTCACAGATAGAAGCACAGAATGGACGTATGCAGCTCCTTATATATACAATGGGTGGAGCTAGATATGGGAGTGGTGAAATATGAATACATTAAGAGGTGGAGAATAAGTTAACCCCTGATACCCTGTTCATGTACTATTTACATAATGGAGAATAAGGCATTTACTTGTGACAAATCCCCCTCTAAATGCCGATTCGATATATTACAACAATTACAATCAGATTCAGAACAATATAAGACATGTAATTTAGAAGTCAAGTATTTATGTTGCTTAGACGGCAAAGGCTTTGTTAATATGTCAGCTATTTGCTCTGATGTTTCGCAATGAACTGCTTTGATAAATCCATCTTGAGATAATTGTCTCACATCATATCTAATTTTGCATGTAAATACGCAGTCTGTATGTCGTATTGGAACACATTGAGGTTGAGTGCTGATGCTATAACCAGAGCTGTCTTGACACTCTCTGTTCTTACTGTGGGGAAGTATGTATCTGTATAATCCTCGGGATATTTCTGTGCATAACCTTGTGCAACTAATCTAGCTTTGTATAGAGTATTGCCTCCCTCTAAATTTTTAATTTTATATATCCACCTAGTGCCAATGATGGTTTTGTCCTTTGGTGCAATTGTAGGTGTGAATACATTTAGCCCTCGTAAACTATCCATCTCTTTAGTCATGGCTGATTCCCATTTTTTCTTTTCTTCAGGAGGAAGTTTTAACACTTCCTCATATGTGTTAGGTGTTGGTGATTCTCCATCCATATACATTACATAATCTTTGTATTTGTCTGGCACTTGGTTTCTGCTACTTCTGATTGCTCTTTCTGGTTTAGTATCATTGTCATGTAAATACCTTGCTTCCTTTTTAGTTAATGAATCTGTTCTTATTTTGTGTTGACTGTTTGTCCATGTTTTGATTTTATTTTTATGCGTGTTGTTACTATGTTCTTCTCTATTCCTTTTTTCTTGGAGTTTAGTGCCTGGGTTGGTGTTTGGGAATATTTCATTAAGATGTATTCTAGACCAGTTGGCCTGTTCATGGAACACAGCTGTTCTGGAAACTATAAATTTGTTATTACTATCGATAAACCTGTATCCTTTTGTACCTGTCTCGTGAATCTAAGTCTTCTGGATACGTTCTCACCTTTGCGCCTTAATTGTTTAGGTATGTGTACGTCTGCGGTGACTCCAAATATATGCATGTGTGCTAGTTTTGGTTTCCTGTTATACATTGCTTCATACGGTGTCTTATCTACAATACTGGGCCAAGTTCTGTTTTGTGTGTAATTAGAATATTGTAGGGCTTCTGACCAGAATTGTTTACCTAAGCCAGCATCCTCTAATGTGCATCTAATCATGGTTTGTAATGTTGAGTTCTTTCTCTCTACCACTCCGTTCTGGAATGCGGAAAATGGGCTAGATGTGTAATGTAACATTCCTTTGTCTTTTAGCCATTGGGAGAATTCCTTAGACATGAATTCACATCCCCTATCTGTCATGATTTGTTTTATTTTAATATTGTGTTGTGTTTCTATACGTTTGTAAAACTCCTTAAATTTCTGAAAGGTTTCATCTTTATGTTTTAATGTGTAAACAAATCCATAATGACTATAATCATCCACAATGGTTAGAAAGTAACGTTTTTTATAAGTAATTGATGGTGTTAATGGACCAACTAGATCCATGTGTACCAAATCAAAAATTTTGTTAGTTGATCTCGTTGACTTTCTAGGTCTGGGACTAGTTTTGAGTTTTGTAGATTTACATACTGAGCATTCCAAATAGTTTTCACAATTTTTTATTTTAACACCTTCTGCATGTTCAGTCATCTTTTGCACTACAGGAAAACTGGCATGTCCTAATTTCCTATGTAAGACATGAGCACACTCATCGTGAATTGGTTTACCTATTTTAGGTTTTTTTTCATTGTGTGTATCTTTGTGATTATGAGTTACTTCATGTTCCTCATTGTCACTGTTACTATTGTCTCCATTATCTATTTCATTGTCATCTTCCATATTTGAATCAATGTTGTTTAACCATTTCTCCTTTGTCATTAAATAAGGTAGACCTCCTTTGATTATTATTGTGCCTATGTTTGTTCTGTTTTTCTCTAATGTTGCCTTTCCTTTTGAGAACACAATGTTAATGTCAGAATCTCTGCTTAGTTTTATTGCACTAAGTATGTTATGAGGTATCTCAGGTATTAGTAATACCCCCTCTACTTTTCCTAGGCTGGGTAAGATTACATTCCCTCTACCTATTACTTGAACCTTTTCTTCATTAGCTACTTTGATTACAAATTTATCTTCTACAAAAGAAGATAATATATTTTTATTATTTGTAGTGTGATTGGTTGCTCCAGAATCAATAAGCCAATTGTTGTTCTCTGGTTGTTGTATGTTAATGTTGTCATGTTTGTTTAGCCCATTCAGTGAGCCAGACTTTCTATCCTTTGAATTATCTCTGCCCCCTCTATGTTCTCTATAGTTGGGTGGACTTCTATACCTATGTCTATCAATGGAAGGTTGTCTGTTGTTGTACCTATTTCTATATTCTGACCTATGTCTTTCTCTTAGAATTTTAGGACAATCCCTCCTATTATGTTCTCTGGACCCACAATTGTGGCATCCAAATGGTTCATGATATCTTTCTTGAAATGCTACCTTTTTATATTGTTTGTGTTCTATGTGGTTGTTATAACGATTCCTTCTTGAATTGTCTTCAGCTATTAACTTGTTAGATAGACTTTCTATGGATAAGTATCCTAGATTGATTGTGTCTAAATGTGACATATAATTATCCCATGATGGGTCAAGTAAGTTGATGATAACACTTTTCATCGTTTGATCTGAAATTACCTCCCCCCTTAAGTGCAGTTCTGCTCTAATTTTGTTTAAAGATATTAAATGTTCACTTATGGTAACCCCTGGCTTTATCCTAGAAGAGAAGAAATCTTTAGACATTCTTGTGGTAGTGGCTACACTTTCACTGTGAAATAAATTAAACATGCATTGAATAATTTCTGAGACAGTCAGATTTTGCTTAATACTGTGATACATGGCAGGAGATACACTGGAAATTAATAAGAAGAATGCTCTATGGTGTAGGCAATCTAATTTTAGAGTCCAAGGTCTTTTTGGGGGGTTAGTAATAAAAAAGAGTAAATTTTCTTTCATAAAGACAACCTGGAGCTGCTGATACCATTCTTGCAAATTAATGCCATCTATTCTCAGCTTTGGGAAGTCATTGGGTAAATTCCCAACATTGTTGGGTCCATTACTTACAACCGGAGGTAGTCCGTGGTCTTGCAAATGATGAAAGTTGCAAAACG